GTCTATGAGTTATGCGGCAGCTTTTGTCTTATACGCAGCAGTCTCTTCAACGAAAAGTCATACTCCGCGACTCAGGCGATTCACTTGCTCATGTCAAGCAGCTGCGATTGAGGCGCTCCGCTGCTAATCGTTGGACCGCTCTAACTCTGACTAGCGGGACAGCATAAATGCGTGACGAAAAAGTCTAGACATTCCTGATTGGAGCAGAAGTAGCCGCAGTAAAAAAAACTAGCGATGGACCACTCTTGGCCGCAGTCGCTCGACATGGGCGACCGAATCGTTCGAGTAGCCATGAGCAAGAAAACTGAAAACTGGCGAGATTCAAGTGTTAGCTAACCCTCTGGATCTAATAAGAATTGAGTGAAACGGTCAAAATCCTGCGAAGAAAGAGGTTCTCAATGTGTTAGTAATCAATTTTGGACGAGTTTCCTATAGGCATCTTGCCAATAACCGCTACCGAAGGTACGGCTGCATATGTGTACCCATGTATGCATGCAGCATCACGGCCGCTTCATACCAATCCCTTCGCTTCATAATTTGCTTAGCAAATGAATCGATTAGAGCGTCAGGAACGGTCGTCCATTTGTGGGCGTTTGGGTCGGTATGTTGTGGCTTGATAGGGCCCTTATAAGGGCACCTCCCTTGGAAAAGGCATTATGCAGCGCCTGCTCAGGGTCGCGGAATTCCGTCCTGCCAGGCGTATTAGTCCTACTCGTCTTGGAGGATTTATCGTGCCAACTGCCTTTAAGTCTAACGACCTGACGCACTGCAGCATTGGCTTGTCAAGCTAGATCCCAAGTATAAGTTAAAAGTATAAGTTTATTAAGTGTGCGTAAGGCATACTTTAGAAAAAAATTAAAACAACACTACGTATACAACTTCCAGTATTAAAACATTAACTCCAATTTTTCAATAAGGATAATTAACCAGCGAATCCCCTACTTATCGACCAGCCTCGAGGGAGCTAGACCCACTACCTCAATAGCCTGCTGAGAATACGGTGTCGAACTGAGCATGTGACAAAGTGGCAAGTGTACTTTTGTTAACTTCAAATACGCACTGCCCGCTCTGGAGGTGAAGCCCTTTACACGTAATAGTCTCAGATTCTGACGAGAAGATCTCCATGGGACCACCTCTAGTGTTCGAATGAATCATTCTGAAGACATTAATGGAACCAGACCTACGCGATCAATACATCTTTCTAGACGCTCAAAAGGCTGGCCGCTGCCGCAAAGTATGGACGCTTTTTGACGCCTGTCGCACTTCCGCAGTTGGAATTTCCTCACAGTTACTGCTAGGAGGAAATCTGGTACTGGAATTTATATACTTCAAGGCCCAGCCAAACTGACAGTGCTCCTGCTCCACTGCTATCACCCCTGCCACTCCCACAGATAAGCCTTGAGTGGTTCTGCTGACCCAAAAGAAAAACCCTCCCTACGTGCAAATCACGTGATTTTCCACTCGTACTTCATACAAGGGACGAGAAGCTGTGTTACTAATTATAAAAGAAGCAATGATCTACGGAATAGCCTACACATTTTGCTCTCGTCAACAACACTAACACGTTTTCGGCTTTGCAACCGTACCTGCGCCTGATGATATGCATAAGTTCAGCAACAGTGATATGGTCCGGTACTAGGAATTTGCAGCGATCCATTAGCGGCAGACTGCGTTCACCATCGAACCTCTCGATAATCACGGGGACTTTATTCGGTTGTTGACGCCTGATCTCAGCCACGTCCTTTTCTCGTGCATCTGAACATTACGAACATTGAGACTGCGAACAACGGGACAAAAAGAGGCCTTTCAAAAAGAACATTTAATATTGAGTGCCAAATAAACAGCGTCATGTGGTGCATTAAAGACAGCCCCGCGCTCGAGTAGTACATGGTCGTCCTTCCTTGTGCAAGTAGTACAGCCCCCAAGCTAGAGACTATCCCACTCTCGCGACTCCACAGCGAGCGAGGAGCGAGCTACAGCCGCTAGTTCTAACGCCCGCCCAGTTGGACCGCCCACTTGCTAGATGCCCTCTGACGGAGGGCCGCTCAGTTGTTCTTTGTTGGGGCGGTGGGCATTAATCGAAATTGCATGCACTTTTTGCTGACCGCGCTCGTGCCCATGAATGGTTCTGCTCTCCTTGTTACATTTCATTTATTAGGAGCACATACAGGCGACCCCAACTCACAGTTCAGGGTAAAACGCGTAAA